CAAAAAACACCTTTTGGTTACGTAAAGCACAAATCAAAAACTACTCATAAAAAGTATGTATTTTGGCAACTCTTAATAGCTCATTCCTTGATTATCTATAGGTACAGAAATTTTAATTTTAGCAAACAACTTTTTTTGGTTAGGATTTTGGATCAGTACAGTGGTGTGGAAATGTGCAAGGATTTCTATTGAGCTGCCTATTTGCTGTCATGGCCAAGTGCCTTCACATCAGGTGAACCGAGAAACACTGATGTTCCAAGAAAGCTTTCTGTCTGCTGTCTCTACCAGATCATATAAAGTCTGAACAAAACAGAATGCAAATCCAGGGCAGGGTATCTGAACAGAAAGAAAAGTATATGATCTATACCGTGCCCATGTCATATTAAAAGAATCATTCACTACAGCTTGCTAAAAATGCAGTCAGAATAGTTATATTTGTCACAAGTGCAAAACTATGCAGACTTGGGTATCGTACCAGCACTTGTACTGTGTATGCATACGTTTCATGGAATGCAAGCACATATCCATCCCTCTGACTTAAATAATTCTATTCCTTCATCACCAAGAGCAAAATTATGTAAATGACATTATAGGCGGGGGAAGGGGGGAACACACAAATGTCCTCCAAAAATTTTAAAATAGTCTGTAAATTACTATGTCCCCAAGTATCACAGCCTCTGGATATATTTTTTTGAAATACTGCATGTCCCCTACAAAATATTGAACAAAACACCATTGAGAGTTGAGACTCTGCTATGTATCAGACCTGGAATTTCTCATATATAATGCACTGACTCGTGGTTGCCCTGAGAACCAGACTAGATACAAACAGTCCTAAAGGATGAGCAAAAGGGAGGGAAAATAAAACCCAACCAAATAACTAAACATTTCAGGATACATGGGGCAAATACAATAATAATAATATAATAATAATATAACAAATATAATAATAATATGGCAAAAAAAAAAGAATACCTTGTTTTGGAAGTATTTTTGCAGTGCTTAGATAGTGCCTGTTTGTGGATACTAATATCAATAATTTGAAATATTTTTTTGTAGAAAACAAATCAGGCAAGATAATACCAGTAGAAAAGTCAATGTCATTTGATCACTGCCATATTTTTAAAGCAGGGTCCAGATACTAATTAATCTCTACAATCTCTTCATTTGGTAGGTGACTTGTTATCGTCTTTTCATGGAAAAGGTTACAGGAACTCAAGATAAGGGATATATCTAAATGTTCAAAAGCACACGGTGAGTTTGTTCCAGAATTATCAAAAGGATTTCCTGTCCTTTTCTTACACCAATACCCCATGTTGCTCTCCTCTTCCTCATAAAAGTTGATAGAACTACGTATATCATAAATAGATATATATATATAATACAGAGAGAAACAGAGCAAGATGCTGTAAATCAATAGGCGCAAAAGAGGAAAAAACCTCTTATTAATATCAGAATAAATACAGCCTGTAGTATTTCAGTTATTAACTGTGAAGTAATAAGAAACTTCTGCACTAAAAATCAAAACAGAGCAAAACTGTGAAAGTGAAGTATGAAAATGCTAAGACTAAGGCGAGACACTGAAGGACTAACATTAAATAAGTAAATGCAACAGAGCTGCCTGCCTGCCTGATCACTTTAGAGCACCTCCCAGAAGACTGAAGTACAGTAGAGCTTCTGTGCAAGGGTTTGGAAATAAGAATTGATGGTAGAACAATTTCTTTACAACCCTTTGGAGACTGAAGAGCCAAAACAGGAGGGAAATGAGATCTAGGCCACTCGCGAGATAGACCAATTTAATGGAATGCACAAGACGGCCCAAAATTGAGCCCTAGATTAAATTCCAAGTTACCTTCCCCATCAAAAGAGGTCTGGAGAGGAAACAGAAATGAAGCAAGCTGTGCGTATCAAATGCAAAGTCTTTCAGTCAGCATCTGCACATGCTGCCAGTCTCTAGCAATAAAATCTGCAAACCTGATGTAAAGCATAAAAAAATGCACTTTAGCACATAATTCAGAACAGGCTTGGGTTTTCCATGAAAAATTAGAAGTGTCCTTTTACCTTGACTGCTTGATACCAAAATTTTGAGGCTAGCTGTCTGAACGGCTGTTTTCATTTCACAGCAGTTCAGAGGTGTGTGTTTGCTCCAGTCCATCCTAAGCACTCCAAGTCATGTTGACAGGGATTCCCCATGATATACTGAGCAATAAAACTGACCTTCAGGGGTGGCCACACAGTCACAGAGTCAGAATCACACCAGCTTCAAAAAGCACAATGTAATCAACTCTCCTAATGAGAACACAAGTCACAGTGGTATTTTATCAAGAAAGGTGTGAAGAGTTCATACCTCTACACCCCAAAGTTTTAGTGGGACAAGAAAATAAATGGCTAAATGAATTTAAAAAAAAGAAAAAAGAAAAAAAAAAAACCACTCTAGCAAATAATGCTGATAAGTTTTCAAGACTCTATAATTGAAACAGACTGGTTCTCAAAGTTTTGTTCACATATTTTCAAGTTATCTGCCCTATGAACAAATATGAGCAATCTTTAAATATATAAAACGCAAGATTTCTTCAGAAAACACAGTAAACTCTAAGTGAAAACGGGGCTTCAGAAATGCCATGCATTGAGCACAGAGGCTTAATTACATTAAAGCAAGTCTCTATACCTACACAAAACAGAGTATTGCTAATGACAGTGACAGAAAATGATAACTACTCTCGTTTCCACTTTGAGTCATTTTGCTGTGGTTAATAAATTATATCCATAACAGTGTTAATAAGTTATGGTACGGTGTCACTGCATCAGTTTGCGTTTATGATGAAGCACTTCATATGGCACTACCTATACCTGTGGAAGGAGAGAGCCCTTTTCTGCTCTCAGAAGAATCTCCTATGCTGGAACTTTGATGGATCCCCTAAGGAAGCACTGTCTCCTGACCTCTTCCTTGCTCTTACTTCTCATCTCTGCTGCAGGTGCATGCCATGGCAGGGCAATTCAAAAACTTTAATACCTTTAATAAAACACTGGCAATCTTAAATCATTGCCCTTTCCATAGGAATGATATACAAGGAGTTAGAGGTAAGGCAAATACGGGAAGTATTGCGATCAATTTACTCATGTGAAAAGGACACTGATCAACTCATCTTCCCTCAAGCTCCCAGAGGGAAACAGGAAGACTTAGACTGACTGATGGACTCTTGATCAACTACTTTAAAAGCTTGTTTTCCTAAAAGTTAAGAATAAATAAATGCACTTTAAGCTTAATACGGTTTGGTTTTTAAAGAAAAAAGAAAAGCAGAAGCTATTTAAATTCTTGCAACCCAACTATGGCAGCACTGGTGAACATAAGAGATGGCGAAAGTAATAAGCACACTTTTAGCAACGGAAAGAAGCTCGTGGCTTTAAGTATTTTCTTTTACAAATAAAGAAATACAAACCAGTAAACAAACAGTCCCAAATCAGAGTTCTGTAGTGTGGAGTTTTAGGCATCTCAAGCATTAACTTGAAGAGATGCTATTAAGCAAGATGGTTTTTTGTCCATTAAAGTTATTACATAAAAATTCAGTATAGTTTGAAAGAAATTTTTTTAGAAGAATGTAGTTAATGAATTGTCTCCAGTACCATGATACTTTCTATAGTAAAGCATTTCTTTTAAAGCTTTTTTTATGCTTTATATATACATATATACAGAAACTCCTTTGTGAAACACAATGTCCAAACAGAAATGAGATATTCCAGCTCTAAATAGAAATTATTTGCTTTCCATCACTATCAAGTAAAAAGTAGCACTATTAGATTAAAATGAAGAAAAATCCCAAATTTTCTGCAGCCTCCATAAGCCAGCAGTGGAAAAGCCCAAATGCTTTTACAGTAGGTACATAAAAGATAACTTTGCAGACATATTACTGGAATGGTTTGCAACCAGTGAAGATAATTTTGATTATTTCCACTTCAAAACTTCCTATATTGGAGCCACATCACTGAAAGCAATCTAACCGTAGGGGGAAAAAAAGTGATGTGAAACAAGTCTGCTAATCTCTTCACAAAAATTAGACAGAGGAGGAGAGTAGTCTCCTGTAGATTGACTAAAGTCTTTCAGAGACAAAGACTTCAGTATTCTAAACAAGAGAAATAAAATCCCCATAAAAATACCTTCCCTTCCTTATTTTCTCTTTTTCCCTCCCTGCCACAACTAGCATTATTTATTTGTATACTGAATTCGTCTCCGCTGCGCCATAATGAAATACATTTTAAAATTTAAAAGGTAAAAAAAAATATCATGTTTCCACCACAGCATCATTGGACACCATACTGCATAGAAAAATGAATCGTGCCTTTGCAGTAATTTGACAAGAGAAGAACAAAAAGAATGGCAAAAATAGAACAATACAACTAAGGCTTGAGGAACACATCGGTTCAATATTTAGCAATGCATAAATTGAGGTTTCATTTTTGTTTAGGTATATTTTGATTAGAACTAATAAATGACTGATTTTCCTTTGGTTCTTTGCAACAACAACATATCACCCAAAGAGCTTTATTCTTTATTCCCTTCTCATATAGCATGCCAAAGACTGTCTCAGTTTATGAATTAGCATTTAAAACTACTGTAGGTTATCTAACAAGCATTCAGATTCAATAGTACTTTTGACAGCAGTAAGTAAAGAGCCTTTTAACATCTTGAACACATGTGCTTGAAAAAAGTAGTTGCATCAAAGCAGTTCAAAGACTGCAGACAAAAACCAGTTAAAATCCAGTTTGCTGTGAGATGATTTTAGTGTGGTGTAAACAACCTTTCACGACTCCCCATGGGAAACGTAAGACTATGTTCAAAATGAATCAGGCATATTTATAAAGATCATGAAGTGGTCAAATGCATTTGCATTTTTGGCAGATCCACTCCACGGGTACTACTTGCTACAGTCTGTAGAAATCTCAAATCTCACATCAGCGTTGCCTATAGTGCTTTATTATTTATTACATGTTATGCTAAGTACCTGCGAAAGGGGACATTCCTTGGCCAATGAACTCTGGTTCATATCCTTCAGTAAGTCCTTCAGAGCATTTCTTACTGTTGTGTGAGACCATTGTTCAGGAGGCAAGTCTTCTAGTTTAGGGCAACTATTTGAAACACAGATTAGAAAAGGGATTATTACAAGATTGCATCCTGCTGCAGAACATTCCTTTAAGACAGACAGATTTCATTTTGCGCATCAAGCAGATGCATCTGGAGATTGCTCTCGGTCTCCTGATTGTTCCGATTAGTTAATTACTTTATACAACACATCTGCTGTATTGATGCATGAATTATACATCAGCTGCATGTGGCGACTATTTTTTCATGTTACTTCTACCTTCCTGCTCTGATGCGCTTGGTAAAACAATTTAAGGTGTAATGCTTTCTCACGACTGATCATGAAAAGCATTAATATATTAACCATTTTTTCTTTTTTGTTGCCGTGAAATTTAAGAACCTAGACAGCAACAATAAGTGTGAGCAAGTCATTCTTTTACAAAATGCACACAGATGGTACTGTTCATGATATGCAAAAATATTTTTCTCTTAAGTAAACTTTATGTAAAATGCCTTCTTGTAATGCATCATTTAATTGACTAAAATGCAATATAGTTTTAATGAGATATCCAAAGAAAATCTATGTATCAGAGCTATAAAAGTTTTCTGCAATAGTATACTGTAAGTTAAAGAAGAATTAGAATAACTAAAAAGGAATTTAGGCAAGCCTTTGTACTTTGAGCACAAAGCAGGGTGGGAATTAAATACAAGCAATATTAACAGTTAAGAGCAGACAAGTAACAGTTCATGTCCCAGAACTGGTATATGACTTACCTGTGTAACTGGATTTTCAGTGTGACCACATGATACACGTCTTGCAGCATGTCTGCTACTGTAGCATCGGGGGCATCTGTCACATAGGAGAGTGGAACTGGATTCCACTTCCCAACCTGGATAAGCCCTGCAGGATTGTAATTTTCAGAGGGGAGGGGGAGTGGGCAAGAAGGGCAGGAAAAATGGAAAGAAAGTGATTTACCTAATTCCAAGGGGCAAAAGAAATACCTGATTTTAACAAGATCACCACCTTTGTTTCTAACCTCTTAAATCTGGCAAAACAAAAGAATACCCCCTCCTCCAAAAACCCCCACCCACACACCACCAAGGAGAGGCCTTATCTGTATTATGAAATTATACAAATACATTACAGTAGAGATTTGTTAAAATATGTATAGAAGTATATTTTCCTAAGTTCCTATGAATTCAATAGGACATGATATAATAGTTAACATTCCTCTTAATAAATAAATGCAAGAATTGAGCACAAAAAAAATTACTTTGCAGTCTATAAAACCATCAGGAACAAAATAAAAGAAACAGAGCTGGATATTCAGTCATAAATGCAAGTTGACTCTCAACAGTCCATCTGCTCAAATATGCTTTACACTTCCTTGTGGATCCTCAGTGGAGCAGATTATTAAGGTCAATAAGCATACTAATGATTCAGTTGAAGTCTTTTTTCTTCTTTAAAAAAAAAAGGAAAAAAAAAGGAATTTACCTCCACATTCCCCATGAACAAAATGTGCACTAACTAAATAAAAACACATCAAGGAAAAAAAAGTACAGACTCTGCAAGAAGTTTAAGAAGTAAAACCTGTATTGCATTCCTGAAAGAAGTCCTGCCCCTCCCCCAAGACCCCACAAACAAACACAATTCATTGTACAATTTCATAATCTTATTTACCTTTTGCTTGGGCAGCAGAGCTGTGAGAATATCCAAGAGATAGCAATGCCATTTCAATCAGCTGGTTGAAAAGCATATCCTTCCTCACCAACACAAATTCTGCATGCTCCTCCTTAGAATCATACTCAATGGCATTTTCATAATGTTCCACTACACAGAAAACTGGAAGCATACTTCCTATTAAAAAAATAAAATTTAACATATTAAACTTTAGTTATAGTAGAGTAGGTGGGTCTATACAAAGTTATGTAAATAAAACCTGTACAAACAGGCAGAGAAGGCATCAAGAATCATCACAAATATTTGATCAACATATTCCCCGAGTCCTTTCCCCTCACCCTCCCCAGAAAAGAGAAAGTTCTACAAAACATACATCTCCCTGAAAGGCAGAAATGCAAATATATCTCCCTTGATCAGATACAGGTTTAAAGAATTACCTTCTATAGAAATAGCAAGGTTGACTGAAGAGAAGTTGATTCTCTCTGTCCTGCCTGATTTGTTGTGAGTAGCAGGCAGCATGAGAACCTAAATACATACTGCAGATGTCTTCACTGTAAGCCATTTTAGTACCAGCCACATAATTTTGTTTGTTAACATTAAAACTTTCTTAGTCCTGCCAAAAATATTTAATTGCTTTCAATAACAGCAACAAATCACCTTGTGTGTTACATATTCACTCTGAAAAGAGTACACAAGGAAACAAGGCAAAAGTTAACACTAATTCGTGCTTCATTCACTGAGTGCACTTGAGCACTACTTTCACTTGCATCTTTAAGGAACAAATCATAATTTCAGTGCCGCTTTAAGAAGTGTACCTGCAGTTCAGGCTTATTTTTGTTGTTCTTGTTGTTTTTGTTGTCTCCTGCACTTTACATCCCACAACGCTATTTTGGCATGCCTGAAAGTTAATTACTAATTTCCAGTTTTATAGCATCATATGGCAAACCCTTCCATACACTGCACAGATTATTAAGCAAATAACCTTTTTCCTTTCCTTTGGCCTTTTCTTAAAATTTATTTTATTTTTTTCATCCCTTTTGATTATTGAGAGAGAAGTAACAAACGACCCAAGCTGTTTTAGGGACAAAGTCTCTCTCAGCAATCAGATCCCTGGACTTTATGAAAATCCCTCCCAGATGGACATGGATGACACAATGACCCGTGGTTTTAAGCTCCAGTCCTGTTCTGCTGCCTCCAGCAGCACAGGTTGGGATCTCTTAATGACAAAAAGCAGAAGGGTTAAAAGGAGATGTACAGAACTGTCTTATGGCAGCCTGCCAGAGGGGTATCATCTTTAGCATAAATGATGACAAGGGTTATTTTAACAGGGCACCCAGGAACTCCAATTAGTCCTACAATGTTAATGCCTCTATAACCACTGCCCTCTAGACTTACGGAAACCTCCTAACCTGCTAAGGTGCACCTGACATGCTGCAGTCTAAAAGGAAGCTTTACTCTTGACAGCAGAGGAAGACATCTGCTGATTTGTGCTCTAACATATAGTAAGAAATCATGATAAAAAAGATATCTCTTAAGCACATATATTTAAACTACATCTGCTCACCAGAGAGCCAATCTCTGGCAAACAAACCCCTTTAGGCTTGAAGGGAAAAGCCCAGAAACTCACTCCAGTTTGCCCAATAGACTCAGCATGAAAGACTGAAAGACAAGAGCAAAAGCCTGCCAATATTTATGTAGTGCAGAAAGGAGGATTTTTTTTTTTTGTTTTTTTTTTTTTTTTTTTTTTTTTTTTTTTTGTAATCTGAGTGAGACTGGCCAGAAAGGGAAAGAAGACCAAAGTAAAAGCAGTACATGCAAAGCGGTGTTTACTTCACTGCTTTTAAATAAGCTGTGGACACACACAATTCATCTGCAAAAAGGTGGTGGTTTGTTTTGGGGGTTTTTTCCCCCTTCCAGGCTCTCATAATTGATGTTTCACCTACTGCTATCTGACTCAGAATAAGGGCTCAAAATTCTTAAGCAGTTTCACCAGTAATTCCTGAAGATAAAGTGTAAGCAAAGCTTCATTCTAGCAAACAGTGCAGATACATTCAAAACTAGCTAAAGCATATTTGTTTTTTCCCTTATCAGCTCCTACAAATTAAGCTACAATCAGACACAACACACAGGTACTTTGCTGCTTATCAGCACCCTTTTTGCCAAGTATATGGTTTCCTCGGTTGCAGTATTTTGGGAAATGTCGTACTTTAAGCAACACAGGAGAGCCTCCTGGCCAAATTTTGAGGCACAGCATAGATTAACAGAGGTGAATCCCGGTAGTGCGACACAGGTATCATCTGACTACAAATCAAGCTACTAAATCTTTTAACAAACTGTCACTAGTGTCCTTCTGTTAATGTGAAAAATGTTATACAGGAGAGCACAATCTCAGCTGGCTGATCACTCCTGCTAGTACTTGGCAACACCTCCAAGTGCAGCAACTTCATAACCTTCTAGTGTTAAAGGGGAGAGCATTGGTCAGTGCTCCCTGCTAAAAATACAGCATGATTTAAACCTGAAGGCAGTGTTAGAGCTTTTGCTGAAGGTTTACGAGTCTATGTAAACAGCACGTCTGCCATAAGGAGCAGTGAAGTCTGTAGAATCCTTGTCTAAAACTGTCCTGGCATTAAAGTTTGCTGTGCAAATATCACATAATACCAGAGACAGCTGAAATCTCCTATTTAGGAATTTATGGAACTTATATGTTTGCAGGCGTCAGAAAGTCCTTTTTATACAGCCCCACTGCTTCACTGTACAATGTTAATGCACTCTGCTTGAAAAGCCGTAATAAATTATATTTTTAATGCTCTTACCCTGGCTTTCTTAAGATGCATACATTCTTGGCAAACAATCAATAAATAGGGTAATCATGAGCAGAGGCCAAAGAATTTGCTGAAGTGCTGTTTTTCCATTTTTAATAGATAAAGATCTAACAATACGGACTGCTGTGTCTGTTCATTTCAGGATCAATATATTCTTTGTTTTCGCCAAACCGAGGAAAAAATAAATGATTGTACGATAAATGTTATGCATCAGACACAATGAAATTCCTCTGCCTTCTAACTTTGTGCGTTTAAGAGTCTTGGTTGCATTTTGCACTTTGCTTAGCAAATACAAGAAAAATCTGGATTATAAACATAACTGATTATAATAGGAAAAGTAGAGGCTGTTTTAAGACATATGCCAAATTACATGCAGCATATTTTGATTTAAATTAGCAAGCCTGCAGGACATGGTCAAAAAGACTTAGAAATTTTGATAAGTAAAATTTGTATATTATTGTCCTTTAAAAGTATTTTCAATGCAAACAAAGCCATCCATATACAAACATCAATGATTCTAAATGTGCCTTTTCCTTGTGTAAATGTCTAATTACAGCAAACCAGCCACTGAAAAATATGACACCCAAGTTGTTCATTGTTCAATAATGAATTGTACTTAAGAAAATAAACTGCGAAGATTGACATCATAAATGACTTTTCCAGTGTGATACCTAAAGATTTACACTCTCTCCTTTAAACCAACTTGCAACTGCTACTGCTGCCCTTCCAATCTTAGGACCATCATTAGGAGGAAAGGAGAGAGTTTCTTTTGGGGGTTCAGTATTTACTCTTATATATTTTTGCGTTTCTTAGCCTAGCGCTTACTCAAAGAAATAATGCACCAAATTACTTAAATTTTGATGTAAGAATTTGCTTTAATCAGAGCAGCTAGCCTTTACCTTAACAAAAATCAGACTCCACCCTGAAAAGCAAGATGCTCCACCCAAGAATGAACCTTACATTTCCCAAATGTGATTTATATCAGAATTGGGAATATATAGTATTTTAGAATGGAAATTTTAATCCTGAAATATAAATGAAGTAGAGTCTGCAGAAGTATGCTTCCCCCCCAAATATTATAAATCATATTTCTCTAATGCAGAATTATCAAAAGTGTTACCTTTTCTAATATTAGTTTTCATCAGGTGTCCAGAGTGTTTTAAAGGCACTCCTTGCATTTTAGTTCCTGTACTTCCAAGTCTTCCTCTTCCTAATGGGCTCCCATTCTGTTCCAAGCGCGCAATTTTGGCTGGTGGACCCTTCGGATCGCTTACATTGTTAGACATTTCTGAATGTTCTTTCCCCTGAGTTGCCTCGTTCAAATGATCCATACTCAGTCCCGCCTCTAAAGATCACCTGCCATGATTAAAAAAAAAAAAATATATATATGTTGCACACGTGTGCGCATATGTATACGTACACAGCCTGCACATGTACAGAGACAGACATATATGTATCATAAGCTCATAAAGAATAGATAACTATTTTAACTAGAAAGAAATGCCTTTTTTAAAAGAAATAAACTTATTCTTCAAAAATTACCTCATAACCCAGTTTACAGAGAGATTGTATCATAATCTAGTTGAATGGTTTCTTAAAAGCCAACCAGAGTACCTCTTAAAAAAAATTTTGAAAAAAAGAATATCTTTGGAGATATTCTACTAAAACTGAGAGAATCTAAAACTCATATAAGTGATGATGATTGTCAAGGTGTGTGCTCCAAGACAGCTATTGTTACAAATCTCACAGAAAGGTTTGTTATTAATCGCGGATGTTTTTATTGTGGAGAGAGAGAGAAAGATTCTTATGAAAAATTTCTTGATCTATTTGATTATAAAATGGATGAACAACAAGAGAGAGATTGTTAAAACTTTAGTTGAAGGAGCAACAGATTTATTAGAGATGTAGACTGTTGTCCATTTAAAATTCCTCTCCCCCTTAGAAATAGAAGTCAGAAAGAATTTGACATTTAACTTCAGAAAGCAGTGGCGGGAGATGGTTGCTTTTGAGTTTCCTAACCAATATTATGCAGAGTTTATCAACTTTTGCAAGGTTCAAAATATTCAGTTTTTCAGATATTAAGCTTCAGGTGTTAAAGAGAGTAGTTTATTCAATTAAGACAAATAACCGAATAGTTTCTCACTAGACATAAAACTGAGGAAAAATCCCCCACAATTTCTACAGTACTTTTGATGCCCTTAAATATAAAAAAACCTAAAACCTGGGTGATGCTGACACAGCTATTTGAAACCAAAAAAACAGAATTTCAATAGCAAATTAAGAAAAGGTATATATGAGCATGCTTGTACTTCCCTTTTTATAAACTTTCGAAACCTCTGTCCATGACTAACAATTACAGTTAAATCACTAAAAATCTACCAAGCCTACAACATAACAGAGTAAGTTTTAAGGATTTTTTGCCACTCATCAAAACCTGTTCTGCCAACTATATTAAAAAAATCTTGCTGAGAGCAAAGGCATCTCTCTGGTTATGATTTCACTAATCAATACTGTTGTGATTGTTAGGTATTTTACCTACCTTTCCCTGACAGGGAAAGGTATAAGTACACAGACAATTATGTCACATATATATAAAAATAATATAATCACTAAGGACAGGTCAACAGACATTAATATTTGAACTAGTATTTACATTAGCAAGTACAAATACTAATACTGGGTAAGTCATATTTAGAAAGACTGGTGTGAATCGGATAATTGCTACTTTCTTTCAGTTGCCTAGTAATTCAATACATTTTCTGCACATTTCATAGCGAAGTTATTAGAGCCTAAATATCTTGGAATCTCTATATATATACACTTCTATGTCACTAGTATACATGCCAATGATAATTTTGCAGACTATTTTTTTCTTGTACGAACATCACGCTGCTTTTCCCGATACGGTGAAGAAAGAGGCAATGTATTAATTCAAACCTTTACAAGCAACTTCAAGAATGCAACCAAATAGAGGAAGCTTAGACAATCGTTATTTTTCCTAATGCTGTTAGGTGACAGGCTAAGGTTCACCATTCATCTTTATCCCATCTGTTTTAGGTCATGCGTCTCATTAACAGTAAACATGCCTATTTTAGCCACTTTTCCAAAAGAATTTTTTAAACTGTGCTAAGTGTAACCTAAGCAAAGAATTACAGACTCAAACTGTGAACATCTTCCGATGTTTCTAACAATGCTAACATACCATAGAGCTGGTATTCTGAGACTGGTCTATCTCAAGAAAAAGAGGATTAACAAAAAAAAAGAAAGAAAGAGGGGTGTGGGGGGGGGAAAGAGTAAAAGAAAACACACACAAAAAAGCTTCAAACAAGAAATTCCTCATCACTTTTGGCAACTTCGGAAGTACTCTAAGCACGAAGGTTCTTTGCTACGAAAAGTATCTAGTCATCATGAGTCAGAATCGCACTACATCATGTACAGTGAATAAAAGTGATAGATCGCCACTTAGTTAATACACTGACTGCAACCAAAACACCAAATGGGTCATTTTCGATTGGCCTGAGAATACCCACCCATCGGCATCCTTTCACCGCTTAGTCATCTTGTAAAAAGCTTTATGTTACAAAGCAAAATTACATGCACATAAAACACCTAATTTACTCATTTAAACTCCATGCCCAAGGCTAAAGTTCACTGAAACCTCAGTTTGGAATAGTGATGAGCAACAACCAGCATGGCCTGCCCAGGGAGAGGGTGGCAGGAAAGACCTATCATCTCTGCCGGTTCCAGGCCAGGAGTTTCCCCGGGTTTCACATTTAGGCATCTTTCAAAACTACAAGTTTTCATCACAGATCAGTGAGAGAAGAGCACAATTTCAAGGCACAGTTTCCCGGAGCCAGCGTACACGTACAGGCACACCGCGCAATTTCTGAATGAGAGTCGGTGCCGTATCTCCTTTTGTCGCGATGTAACGCTGCCGGTATTATATTATTTCTTTCTCTCCTCCTGAATCAGCCCCCTCCCCATGCCTTTCCCCTCCTCTTCCCTCCCTCCCCCATAAAAACCCATAATCACATTTGAGAGAGGCTCCGCACTTATCCGTTCCATATGGCTCTCACAATCCAGGCCAAGCTTTCCCTGTGACCTTTTAAAGAGACAAAGAAGCAAAGTACTTATCTAGAAACAGAAACACTGCAGTTTTCTGAGTGAAATTAGCAAAACCGACCCGAAACTCACCACTTCAAAACTTGACAGCATATAAATAACAAAAACAAAGGAGGTTTCCTTTGCAGCCCGAGCTCTTGAAGAGGAAGAAGTTCAAGACTGATGTTTTTAGGTCCCCCCCTTTCTGAAGGGGGGCGGGGGGGGGGGGG